GGGCTAGCTTTGGGGTCCTAGGCTCTGAGAAGAGAGTGCTGAGAGGACAAGAAGCGGAAGCCAGGGTCAAAACACAGATCTGAGGTAAACAGAAACAAGCAGAAAGCTTGAAAAAAAAAACATTAATAAGTGTGTGTGACTGAAAGCCAAAAGAAACAGTGTATCACACAAGGAGCTCAGGCAGGGTGCCTGGAATAACAAAGTAGTGAAGCAAGCCTAAAGCAGGCTGTGTAAGCTACTAAGTATCTCTCCCCAACACAGAGGGGAAAAAAAATCAGTCCCTTTTAAAAAGAGGTTTGTGTTTTTGAATCTGAGAACACATAAGACATGCCTCTTAAGAGAGGGAAAAGGTTAGCTATGGAGGTACCTGAAGGACAAGGGTTACCTCACGAAGAGGAAAGTCCTCTTGAAGTAGCTGAGCAAGAAAATGATGATGCTTAAGAGGTGGCTGCTCAAGAGGATGATGCCTCAAAGGGAGGAGAAGCTGCTGTAACCTCCCAAGAGTTTCTAAAGTGGAAATGGGAAAGGGAATTTCAGCTAAGACAGGCTGAGTTAGAAGCAAAAGAAAGAGCTGAAGCCAGACAATTGGCCATAGAGCAAGAAAGAGAAAAGATGATAGATGAGATAGAGGCAGAGGCCAGAGAAAGAGAAATGGACATGAGGGAAAAAGAAATGGAACTGAAACACCAATTTAGGATGGCACAATTAGAATTAACATTCCTAAGTCAGAATAATAACAATTTATCAGTTGAAGAAATTTCAAAAAGAGAAAAATATGAGGCGCAGGCCAGACAAAGTAAGCAAGATCTTGAAAATTGGAATCTGCAAAAAGACATTAAATTAAAAGAAATCAAAGCTAGGACTGAAGAAAAATTAAAAGAAATAAGAGCTAGGGCTGAGGAAAAGATTTTATAGATCAGGGCTGAGTTTGAGGCTAAGCAAAAGGAACTGGATTTGAAAATAAAAGAGAAGAAATTGCAGATAGAAAAGAAACAAATGAAATTATCAGCCCAAAATAAAAATACTAATAATGATTCAAATCCTGAGGGGAACTTATCAAAACCAGTTGTATATATAAAAGGAATAAAGAACTCATATTATTCTGAGGTGAAATTTGAGGGAAAAGCTTGGGATGACAGAAAGAGAGAACCCAAAATGTACCTCAGAGATCAACTGACAGTTGGAAACCATTTTAAAGGCGAGTCCTCCAAGCAGGGCCAGCAGAAATTTAAAAACTGGGAAGGGAAAGGAGAAAAATCTCCTAGTTTTGAACGAAAAGCTGTTAGATGTTTTTCTTGTGGAGAACAAGGCCACTTTAAAATGCAATGTGTTAAAAACAGAGATTTTGGGCAACAAAAAGAGAATTTGAATTTGCCTAAGGAGGTAGATTGCGTAGAGCAAAAGGAGGCACCCACACAGGCAGATGAAGCAGGCGCCATGGCAACCACAGTTAGTGCTAGAGCACAGAACCCAGAACCACAAGAACAACTTTCAGTAGCTCAAATTCTCCAATATTACTTACTTGGTAGAAAATAATCAGGAACTTATGAAATATTCTGGGGATACTATTCATATAAATGAGACTAATTATCCAGCTCTAAAAGACTCATGCTCTCAAGTGACATTATGCCACCCAGAAATAATCCCTTCAGAGTTTATAGTGAAAGGAGAAAGCATAAAAGTCAAAGGAATAGGGACGGAGATAATTACACTACCAGTGGCAAAAATATCAATAAAATATCAAGGGTGGACTGGTTGGCGGAGAATTGGGATTGCCAGTGAACTGCCAACATCATGCCTGATAGTTTTAGTCCTCTCTGAGCATGTTAAGAGTGCAAATAAGAAAACATCTGAGGAAAAACTTGAGTCCCCTAATGTCTGTATCAAGATTATATATTTTAGCTTCAACTCTTAAGCTAGGGCTGGCAGTGAACATGCTTGGCACCATCTCCTTGCTAAGAATGGGACTTTCAAATTTTTTAGAATTCACCAGGAATTCTCCCAGCCAGGATTCTATATGCTGCAGTGAAAAAATCTGAGTCCACACACTTGGGTTCATTACTCCCATAGGAGCTTTCTCTGAAGGAGGAAGAAATAGCTGGTTGTGGTAAAACTCTATGGGATCTGCAAGGGATTATGGGAGGAGTATTTTTTTTGGGGGGGATGTACACTTTATAGAACCTAATGACTCGCCATAATTTCTTGCACCTGTCATGGAGCTTTGCCACATCCAGCCATTTCATTCTTCTTCAGAAGCAGTGATGGCTCTAGCGGCCCATGGAAGCCGACACGTGAGTAATGAATGCTGCTTTTTAATCAAGGAACAAGTTTACTCATTTTCTCCTTTTGCATCCAGTCACAGTGCTTTTGAAATGGATCATGGTTGTCACTTCCAGGACTGCATTATTTGTGGCTTAAGTGCAAAATGAATAGAAACAAAATTTGTTAAAGTCTCAAATAGTATTTTATTCATGATGCTCTAATAAAGGGACTATAATTTCTCTCTAATATCACTACCCAAAGCACAACCTTGCTTCTTTCTCAGCAAACCACCCCCATGACCTTTCCCGTGCAAAGTGTAAGCTGGGAGTATGTTTAACAACATATGCCTATATCTGTACCTGTTTTAGAACAGACTGAAAGCTCTTGCTTGACATGGGAGTTGAGGGAAAAGAAACAGACAGTGTGATTGCCTGCCACACACAACTAAAAGTTTACTAAGCTACAAGATGAGCAAAAGCAAATCATTATGGATTCCATGGATATCAGAGAACAGAATGCTTCAGAGATTTCATTCTGCAGATTAATGGCTTGGAAGCAATTCTTTATCATCTTTAGTTAAAAAATATGTATGACATTCAAGAGATACTTTTCCACACTGTGCACATTTTTCAATGGGAGGAAAGGAACTGTAGTATTTCTCATTACATTGAGAATAAAACCACAATTGCTTGAAAATATGGGCATGAAGCACATGCAGTTTCACTGAATTACTGTGACTATCACAAATTTCAACCAAGATAGCAGGATAGAAAAAAGGCAAATAAATTATTCACTTGGAAATAGATATGCACAGTTATTAATTCAGTTATGCTTCCCACCATGTATTCATTTTATATTTATTTATTTATTAGATTTCTATCCTGCCCATCTAGACCAAAGGTCTACTCTGGGCAGTTTACAAATTTAAAAACTATAAAACATATATTATAAATCCAAGATGGCAAAAGTGTAAGAAATTAAGATACGGCACGAGGGAAAGCTTGCCCAAACAGCCAGGTTTTAAGTTTGTTCCTGCAAACACCCAGAGAGGGAGCCAGGCAGATCTCCACTGGCAAGTTGTTCCAGAGGCAAGGGGCCACTGCCAAGAAAGCCCAGTTCCTCATTCTTTCCTTCTGGACCTCCCTTGGCGTTAGGCTCCTCAGCCACCCGGCCTGGCTGGAACAAATGACTCTGGCAGAACTGGGTGGGCTCTGCCAGATATCAAGGTCCTAAACTGTTTATGGCTTTTTATGTAATCATAAGAACTTTGAAATCAACGCGGAAATGAATGGGCAGCCAACGCAAGGCGGCCAGAGTGGGGGTGGCACCTTTTCACCCTAGTAAGAAGTCTGGCCGCTGCATTCTGTACCATCTGAAGTTTCTGTGTCAGTCTCAAAGCAGCCCCACATAGAGCACATTACAGTAGTCTAATATCAAGACTACGAGTGCATGAACCAAAGTGGTGAGTGCCCACACATCAAGATAGGGACACAGCTGGGTAATCTGCCGATGGTCGAAATGTGCAGAACGGACCACTGACAACACCTGGGTCTCCATGGTGAGTGCCGGGTCCAGATGTACACCCAAACTGCGAACCTCACTCTTGGTAGTAAGAGTCACCGCCCCCCAAAGAGAGGGAGTTTCCCAAACCACGGATGTCTGGGACACCCACCCGAAGGACCTCTGTCTTGCCCGGATTCAGCCTCAGTACACTCTCCTGCATCCATTGCTGAACAGCCTCCAGGCAGCGCTCAAGGGACAAAACAGCATCCACAATTGTAAAAAAGGAGAGGTAGAGCTAAGTATCATCAGTGTACTGATGACACGAAGCCCCACATCCTCTGATGAACCCTCCCAGTGGCCTCATATAGATATTAAATAGCACTGGAGAGATAATCGAGCCCTGCGGAACCCCACAATTGAGGCTCCATGGGGCCGAGAAACTCTCTCCAATCTGCACTCTCTGGGGACGGTCCTCCAAGAAGGACTTGAGCCAGGCAAAAGCCAGGCCACCAATTCCCAACTCAGAGAGTCTCCCCAGGAGAATACCGTAGTTGATGGTATCAAAGGTGGCTGACATATCGAGGAGGACCAGCAGAAACATTTTGCCTCTGTCAGCCTCCCTCAATAGGTCATCAAATAGAGTGACCAATGCTGTTTCCATGCCGCGGCTTAAGCCCGACTGGAACAGATCCAGGGCATATAAAGTAAATAAAGACACACCACCAACAGATCTGAGAGATCTCATAGAAGTTTACATTTAAGATAAAGAAACCAGGTTAATATCAAATACGATACCTTTATGAGTGCTGTAAAGAGCTGCAAATGTCACCATAAAGAAGGTGGTAGAGTATTTGCCAGCATTAACAAGATGGGGAAAGGCCCGTTTGGTGTCACGATATCGGCGCAGGCACTGGACAAATCTTAACCAAGCAGGAATGCACTGAACGACTGCTCTCACACCATAGGCATAGGTGTTACAGATCTGACTACCTGTAAAAATAAAGACAAATTTCAAAGGATAAGAAGGAAAGAGGTTCCTTTAATTTTCCCCCAGATATGTCCATTATTTCCAAGAAAAAATATCTATTAATTCTAGAAGTACCAGCAGGTTAATTCCCAACTGTCCGAATCCACTGATTAAAAGTATTCTTAGCAGTACATCATATAAATGAAACTTGGTAACATCACTGTGCAAAAACCGTCTCCCTCCTGACTCCCAGTGAACCAAGCTGTAAAAGATTTATTTTTCTATAAGCAGCAAGCTGCTAATAAAGGGTATAAACAAACATCTTCTCCTCCTCCTCCACAATAAATGTGACTTAATGGAGAAAATTTCTTCCAGTTTTTCACTGAACAAAAAAGCTCAAATTTGCTTAAAGATATTCCACACACATACATGGAAGTTATTAGATTTGGCCTCTCACTGGCATACCTGGATTATCCAACAATGCATTTTTGGCTGTCCACTGGAGCTCAAAGCTATAGAAACAAATCATGTATTCAAGATCCATAAGTATCACAGCCAGACTGTTAAGCTGGTCAGCTAGCCAGAAATCTGCAAAGCCCACCTTATGGAAGGGGGCAGTGAACACCCGGAACTGTAAAGAAAATAAGAAAGAATAAAAAGTGGCACAGAAACATAAGGTGACAGATTTGATGGTGTACTTTTGTATCAAAGACTGTACGTCTGCAGCCATCACTGGCAGAACGGGGCCTTTCTGCACTTCCAATTGTACTGAAGCATTCCACAGTCTACTTTTAGCCTCAACATGCTTTTAGGATGCATGGGGGCTGCAGGGGGAAGCAGAAACCGTATGCTTTCACAGAAGCAGCAGAAGTACGCCACAAGTTCCTTACTATATTCTTTTCAACTGAATAAATACATTGTTTCTATCATCCAGTTTTATAAAACAGATGTAAAGACTATTGGATACAGTATGAAACTTTGTATAAGAACTGCCATGTAATAGGAATCTCTGATTATTCTAGTGCTGTGCTCTTGCATACTTTTTAATAAATGCTAATACATAGTGCTACAATACATGTATAAATCACACTAATTCTGCTTTTCATAGAAAATTAGCACACAATATTGGATTAAGTATATGGGTTGAGAACTCTGAACATATCCAGCATTCAGCCGGTGCTGGCCCCGTGGGGGGGTGGGGGAGCCTCGCAAGGGTCCTGGAAGGCTCACCCGGACCCTTGCGACGCTCCCCCCCACGGGGCCAGCAGCGACGAAATTGCTGCATTCACACCATTAGACGCACTGACTTCCCCACCCACATTTTGGAGGGGGAAAAGTGCGTCTTATGGTGCAAAAAATACGGTATATTCTTTTCAACTGAATAAATACATTGTTTCTATCATCCAGTTTTATAAAACAGATGTAAAGACTATTGGATACAGTATGAAACTTTGTATAAGAACTGCCATGTAATAGGAATCTCTGATTATTCTAGTGCTGTGCTCTTGCATACTTTTTAATAAATGCTAATACATAGTGCTACAATACATGTATAAATCACACTAATTCTGTTTTTCATAGAAAATTAGCACACAATATTGGATTAAGTATATGGGTTGAGAACTCTGAACATATCCAGCATTCAGATTGATATGAACACAATTTTGTCAGAATTCAGTGGTAGAAAGATCTATACTGACAGCTAGTTTTCCACTTAGAAACTTGTAATAACAATACATTAGCGATTTTACAACTGTGCATTCATATAGATAGTATAACCTTTTTTTGTACCAGGTGCAGGATATTTATTTGGCATCAAATATTGAAACTGAAGATGTTTTTCTCTCACACGAGTCTGCAAACATTATGGCTGGAGGGAGTCTGAACTACAAGGAAAAAGACAGTTCTCCATCCCAGCCCATTTGTCCCTCAGGGTGAGAAATCTGCTATATACCTTTCAAGCTAGGCCATTTTATGCTCCATTTAGCTTGGATTACAGCTCTTCCTGCCTGGTTAGTTACAACAACTAACATCCTGATGCTGAAAGGGCAACACTAAGATTATCTAGCTTTGATGATCATGTCTACAAATACAAGAAAGGGCTACAAAAGAAGGTTTTGTGCTGTGTTTCAAGCACATGCAGGTGGCTTGTAGCTGTCCCTGCTAAAGAATGTACCTTAAGCTCTTCTTTCAGAATCCTTCTTTATTTGAGCTACCCATTAGCAGCAGAACAAATGAAATACAAATGTTCAAAGGAAAAGGACAGGTTACTGTAACTATGGTTCTTTGAGTGGATCTCTGTGTAGACACACTATGGGTTTTGCTTGTGTGCATGCGTGATCTTTGGAACCTTCTAGAGCTGAAAAATCTGGAGACTGTTAGAGGCCCTGCCCTCCCACATTGCCTGTTCAAGCCTCTGGGTCACTCTTCAGTTCCCCTGCCACCGCTAAAGAGCAGCGTGACAGGAGGGGAGGTGGGAGGGACATGTGAATTCACAGAGATCCAGTCAAAGAACCATAGTTACGGTAATTAACCTATCCTTCTTCTTGGTGGTCTCTGTGAATGCACACCATGGGTGAGTAACAAACTCACTTACCAGCTGGTGCGTTGTCATGAGAGAACAGAAGCCACCACCACTCTACCCACAGTGGCAGAGGCATGCTCATGGGTATCAAGGCAGTAATGAGATATGAATGTAGAGGGCTGAGCCCACACAGTAGCAGCACAAATGTCTTCAAGGGGGAACACCCCTGGCAAAGGCTGTAGAGGATGATAGTGCACTTGTGGAATGCACTCACACTGTCGTAAGGAGAGGCGGTTGAGATACGCCAATGTGATGGTGTCAACCAACTATCTGGCCAATCTCTATGCTGAGACAGGAGAACCTTCAGTCTTGCAGAAGAGCTGTGTCCTGGCTGTGTAGAAGGCTAGGGTGCACCTGACATCCAGCAAGTGCAGAGACCTCTCCAATGAGGAAGAAGGAGATGGACAGAAAACAATTGGCTGGGTGAGGTGGAAATGAGTGTGCATGTTGGGGATGAAGGAGATGTCCGGATACACCACCACATTGTCTTTGCAGAACTGAATTAATCGTGGATCATGGCGAAGTGCAGCCAGTTAGGTCCCCAGCCCTCTTGGCAGAGGTGATGGAAACAAGACCGTCTTCAACATAAGGAAACACGAGCAAGTAGTTGCCAAGGATCCAAAGGGAGACTGCATAAGAGTGAAGAACCAAGGTAAGAAACCACTGGAGTGAGGGGACATCCAGAAAGAAGTTATGGAGGCCCTTGAGGAAGCATCTGATTGTACAATGTCAGGACAAGAGGGATGCCAGGGACTCCTGGGATTGATTGGCCACAATGGCTGAGAGATAAACATTGATGGTGGAAAAGGAAAGGTTGTCCTTCTTTAAGGCAAGAAAGAACTCGCACATGAGATGGAGGAGTGGATGAAGAGGCAAGAGGCCTTTGGAAGCTGTGAAGGATACAAATTTTTGCCATTTATATGAATAGCAGAGCCTGATGGATGGGCACTGTGAGCCTTGGAAGACTTCAATCAATGAGGGGAAAGCTTCTAGGTTGTCAGGGCAAACGTCCATGGGTCCAGGTGGAGGATCCGGCCATTGCTCTAAAGAAGGATGTTCAGAGAGTTCAGGAGGCAAAGGTAGCACTTGGAGAAGAGGTTCAAACCAGGCCTATCGAGGCCACCGGGGGTGATCAGAATGGTCTTGTCCTGACTGAGTTTGACAGCTACCCTGTGTAATAGGGGGAGTGGGGGGAACAGTTAGAAAAACCTTTATTTCCATCTGATGGTGAAAGTGTCTCCTAGTGAGTTGGATCCTAGGCTGCCCCTTGGACAAAACAGGCTGCATTTTGTATTCTGAGAGGTAGCAAAAAGGTCCACTTCTGGAATGCCCTAGAGGTAGTGATGGCGCAAAAGATATTGTCATCAAGCTCCAATTTGTGAAGCTGAGATTAAGTGCGGCTGAGAGAATTGGCCAGTAGGTTGTCCACTCCTGGTAGGTAGATAGCAATGGGAAAAATGTGGTGATCTAGGCATCATTCCCAAAGGAGCACTGATAAGTAGAGACGACGTGGGGAGTGAGTACCACCTTGTTTGTTGATATAATACATCACGGTTATGTTGTCCGTGGTTACCAGGACTATGCTTCCCTTGAGAAGTGGAAGGAAGTCCTTGAGTGCATAAGGAATGGCTAATAGTTTGAGCTCGTTTATGTGGTGAGCCCTGTCTGAGGGTGCCCAATGACTGCGCACCTGAAGACCCTTGCAGTGGGTGCCCCACCCTGACAGACTGGCATCAGTAGTAATTTGAAGTCTCGGACACAGTGGGCAAAAGCTGCGGCCAAGCATAGTGTTGTTCACTTGGGACCGCCACAGCAGTTGGGAACTGAGCTCCAGGATGACATAGAAGTCTGGTCTGGGAGTCCCAGAGGAGACTGAATTGAGAGAGGAACCAAGCCTGGAGAGACCTCATACGAAGTCGGGCATATGAAACAACAGACATGGTGGATGCTTATCAGGCATAGTAGCTTCTCAGCCGGTAGGGCTAAGACAAGAGCATCCAGAGAGAACACAGGGACAAGAGTGGTAATCTTGAGTTACCTCTCTGTAGAGAGGAAAGCACAGCCCAAATGGAAGTCCAAGATGGCTCTGATGAAGGGAACTGTTCTGCAAGGGTGAAGGATGAATTTTTGTGGATTGATGCAAAGGCCAAGGACCTGCAGGGTCCTGAGGGTAAAAAGCATATCATGTCGGGCCTTGTGCTTGGAGGACGCTACAAGCAACCAGTTGTCGATGTATGGGTAGACCCTGGTGCCTTCTGTGTGAAAGTAAGCATCCACAGGCACCATGCACTTTGTAAAAACACATGGGGCAGTAGAAAGGCTGAAGGGAAGAGTTTTGAAAAGGAAAGCCTGAGAGCTGAGGGTGAAAGAAAGAGTCTGTGGTTTGTACGGATGTGAATATGAAAATAGGCAAAGCTCGATGACCACAAACCAATCTCCCCAATGGAAAAGTGGAAGGATGGTCTCCAAGGTAGTCATGCAGAACTTTGAGGTTGTAATGAAACTACTGAGGTCGCGAAGATCAAGGATGGGGCACAGGCCCCCATCCTTCTTTGGAACGGTGAAGTATTGGGAGAAAAAAAATGTGATGGTAGTTGCACAGGGGGACTGGTTCTATGGTGTCCTTGTTGAGGAGGGTAGACACTTCGAGACAGAGTGTGGTGTTCAGCAGAGCGAGCTTGAATATGCTGAGAGTGGATGGTGAAGGGAATTGTATGGCATATCCATTTCAAATTTTAGACAGACCTCAGGTTTTGGAGGTGATGGTTCGTCACTGAGAGAGAAAAGGTGAGAAGTTGGGTGGAATATTTGCAGGAACCTCAGTAGAAGGAGGTCAGAAGGCTGTTTCGACTTGCATTTGGTGAACTTGGTGGCAGCTGGCTGGCGATACCTGGAGCGCGATGGTTTGGGGACGTAGGTTGTTGACACAGAATAGGTGCAATGTGGCCTCTCAAGCAGTGGTCTAGTAGTTTGATATGGAATATGGCACATATAAGGGTAGAAAAATTGGAATTGGACAGCTTGGGGGTACACCCCAAGATGTTTGG